TCCAATTGACTTCATCTTCGAAGCTCTTGGCGACAGCTGAGTCGTCTGGCAGAACATCCTCCGGCTGTTTGGAAGTTTTTACTTCGTCAGTGGTTGCACAGTCCTTGGTGTTTGGCACTAGACGTATCAGACCGGCGGATGAGAGTTTCTGCCTGCAAGGTAGAGATAAAAAAAGGCTTCGTAGAAAAGAAAGCACACGTAACCAGCGATCCAATCACTAGCCAAGGGTGTCAGGGAGACTTACAGTAAAAAGTTAAAATCATCGTCTTTCGAGACGAAGATTGGGACTAGAGGACGTTCACTGACAAACAGCGGCTCAAAGTCAGGCAAATGAATATGGGGCCCGGTGGAACGTAAGTGTGCTTGGTGTGCATAGTCCCCGTGTACACGATCGCTGCTGATCGCACACGAGTCCACGGGTTCGGGTGGTTCGTTCTCCTCGTCTGAGGTACACACGGAGAAGGAGGAAGAAGAAACCGAGGCGGGAGATGCTACAGAGCCAAAGAGAGGCACCTCCCTGTCACAGGTGTCGACAGCGATCGCGTCCATTCTCGCATCTTTGCCTATAGAAGCTGCCTCTTCTTCCTCGTCCTCAGAAGATGACGAAGAGGACTCATCTGTCATTTCACCCTCCTCTATCTCGTCGTCCTCTTTTTTCACACTTTTGCACTTTTCCTGTTTAATCTTCGCGGGTCTCACTTGAGCTGTCTCAACTCGAGCGATTGTGGCAGACTCTGAATTGTCATGTGGACGATGCTCCTATGTAGATGGCATAAGTTGGTTTTAACTAACAGTTGTAAGATAAACCGAACGAAGGGAAAACTGGAGAAAGTAGGCAGTACGAATAAAGCGAAAAAATCCAAGGAATACGCATACTTAAAACAGCCTGTAAAATGTAATCAAAGCAATGTTCACCCCTTTGTGCCTGACACACACAAATCCACGCTTAGCTAATATCGACTCAACGTTACGTATGTAAAAATCAGTATTAAATAGCTGGACAAAATCTGCAGGACAAACTGTTTTTTATTTATACCTGACTTTACTCGGCGGGAAACTGTAAAGTAACTGTATTCAAGGATCAACGAACCACGCTTCTAGATACATATCACTCACAGCATACCAACTTCAATAGCCTGCAATAGCCTTCAATTTTTTTACAGATGGCAGTCATGAATTGGCGAAGTTGCAGTTGTGGTTTACAACTACACGGATAACTCATTTAATCTCTTAACTGGCAAGGTTGCCGTCTACTTCAAAGTATGTACTGTTAGCTAAGCGGTCTTTGATAGAATTCAAAAAAAGAAGTATCTATAAATTACTGCAAAATGACGAGTTATCGGAAAATATTTCTCCCAAGAAGCGTTTTAATGAATAACGAAAACAGCCGCCCGCTTGACAAACTTTATGGGTCCACAGCTAGGATAAATAAAAATCATCGAGGTGGGAAATGCTGACCTTGAGGGTTCGCGTTCTTCGCTCCATCGGCGCAGCAGAACCTTCAGAGCTTCTCAAAGAGGCTAAAGGATAGCGTGGTTAGGAGAAAACATGAAAAAAAAACCAACAATTTTCTTTCTCCCGCATAACGCTGAGACGCTTTCTGCCCTCAAAGTCCTCAATTTTCTGAGCGTAGGCCACAAGGCGTTTCGTTTTAAATGCCTTATTTCCTTTATCTTTTGCCAACATGTAGTAGAGTGGAGGATAGTGCTGCTTCTACAAGGATATGGAAATAGAAAGTTCACGGGGAACAAACCAGGTAGGCCATGCGGTGTTTCAGACTGCACACGTGTTTAATGATGTTGGAAGGCAGGAAAGCCAAATTGCAGAGATCGCAGGCATACAGACAGTCGAGGAGGCCCCGACGCTGGAACTCCACAATGTAATTGAGGCCGATGAGTGGTTGGATACAAATGTCGAGTAATTGTTGCAGTCGTAAATGCACCTTCGACCTCTTCTCACTAGCCTTTATATCATCTAAAGGTGAGATGTCAAAATGGGTTCAAACAAATAACTTAGAAATGTATAAAGTCCGGAATAAGCAGAATAGAAAGCAGACGCAGGAAACCCAATCTAAGAAAACAGGGATTCCGAGGCGTATTTGTTAATTTAGCTTTCGTTTATCCAGTGCATACATGGATGACTTCACTAAAGATTGTCATGCAGATTGTCTCCAGCTTTAACTCATGTCTACGAGAAAGTAATTCGCGGAAAACGCTCTAGTTTATATCCAAACGCAACTCGAGGGCTAAAATAAGGTTGCGCTGCCTGTAACAAAAAGGAAGCATAATTTACACACACACACACACACACACACACACACACACACACACACACACACAC